AAAAGTATAAGATTTCTTCGTTTCTAAATATTAAGTCGTTCGTGTTTGTTCGATTGTAACGATTCATCGGGCCCCAACAATTCAAGCGGCTAAAATTTTCAACAGGCTTCCCAACTTGCCCCCACACACAACATCAGCGGATTACTCACGGTGCAAAGTGTGTCCGTCTTTTTAACGTTGAAGTCGTTTTCGCGTTTAATAATAATTGGTCTCGCGAGTGAATCTCACTTGAACCGCAATATTATTATGAACCCGCGCACCTACCTATAATATAATATAAATATAATAGGGTTCGCACATTCTCCTTCCGTTGATTACACTCCGACGGCGGTGCATTATTAATGCATATTACGTTTTATCAACACGCCGACTGCTGTAATTATCGCGATAATAGCAATACGTTTTGTTAACAACGTTAATCCCTTACATTATCCGCAGGTACGCGCGCCAAAATCTTGCCAACGGGCGATAATTTACCTACCTCTGCGCAATAGCGTAGGTGTACGATAGTTTTTTTTTTTTCCACATGTATACATATATATATATATTTACGAGTGCTGTCTCGAAATGATCTCGACCTCCGGTAGTCTGCGGTGTGTTATGATTGTGTGTTATTTATTATAAGTACCTACCCACTCACGGCACACGCGTCAACGTTCGCCGACACGTATATAGCAACGGTTCCGTGTTTTAGCCGTTATTGGATAATATTCCGAAGCCTCGTTTACTGCGCGGTGGTTTTTATAATGAAAAACAGTGGCCCGTGCAGGTAGCTGTTATTAGATTTGAGCTAGTTTTCTAGTCGTACGGACCGTGCTAGTTCGGACTACTTTTTCGCCAACTAGCCAGTTCGAAAAGTCAAACGTATCACCATCAAGCTGTGGCGCGAGCAAAACAATTTAATATACTACTAATTTAATAGCTTTCTTAACTACACGATGCTTTTTATTAGTACTTAGATAAAGTGAAAGAGTTGTGAATAGAAAAGCAAACTTGAAAAACGACCGTTGAACAGAAGACTGATCGAAGAACGCATTGATTTTGCTCTTTTTTTATGTTCGTTATTATCGTTACGTCACTGTATCGACCGGAACCAATCGTTTAGTTTCATTTTTGTAAAGCTTATGTATTTCAACTATTTCAAGACTACTTACATGTATACTTATGCGTATTCAATATTTTCACCTAAATGTATTTGGCATAGTTCGCAATTTTAGTATATTCTCTGGCACGCGATAAAGTGGTTTTATTAAAATTTCTAAAAAAGTAATAGCAATAGCGATATAATTACTGGAGGTCTGCAAATGCATTATACAAGCATGTACACTAATTATTATTATTGTAGGCAGTGAAATTTAAGAATATCAATTTCTGTATTGATAATTCGACGACGCTCTGAAACCTCTGACGTCTTAGTCTTCGCACTTTAAATAACACGAGATTTTATAATTGTTGGTTTTCGCACGTTAAGACGAGTTTATTTAGATTTGTAAAATAATATTAATAATATAATAATAAATTAATTTAATATGTGTTTTTGTGCATTCTGTGCGAGTAGCGTACCGACGATATTTGTATACAAAACACCCGCAATGTACCGGTTTCATTCATCAAGTTAGGTGCGGGATGGGAATGGAAACTCATAATAATTTGCAACGTCGTCGGCGAAATAACAAAAGTCGTTGTTTTGTTTTTATCGTGTTAATATTGTTATATTATTATCACGGTTCTCACCAAATATATTGTTATAAAATGCAGTACAAAGTAACATAGTGTAATATAATGAGCCGTCAGTAGGTAGTTAGGTAGACGTAATATTAATAATATGTTTGCGGTTGTCTAGACGGGAATATTATATCCCCGTCACACACGTCGTCGTTTCGTATAATATTACATTTTATTATTACTACGATACTAATGACGATCATCGCTCATTTGGTTATCCTACTTAGTTGTCTTAATACGACAAGTAGGTAAACATTATATTATTGATAATAATGTTCGTGTCTATAATATAATAATTATTCAAGTACCGACGGAGAATATAGGTACGATAATATCTGGAACCAATTTTACGACAGTTATCATCGTGTATAAGGTGATCCGATTAAGTAAATAGGTACACTCGTTATCTCGAAAAGTATTGACTTTTTTCGGAATTTGTTTTACAGAATAAATAAGAAATAAGCAGCTCTACAATTTTACATTTATGCTATTTTTTGTCACGTTTATTTTTAGGGGTAAAACCACTACCTACATTTGATTTTTAAATGGCAATATATATTAAAAATCCCATAATTAGGCGGAGTATTAGTTAAAATAAATTATGGCGTTGACATTTTTGATGCTCCATTATTGCCCTTGTTAAACGCTTCATTTTTTTTTTTACCGGAACATTAAAATGATCTCGGTTTTATCTTTCCCATATTCTACGGTTATGCAATTACTGAAAGTCACTAGGAATTGGCATTCATTTATTGTTTGTACTCAAGTACAATTTTACCCAAGTTTATGTTTCGGACAAAAAACAATTTAAACATTTCGTTCGAATTGCCTTAATATTGGTCTCGTTTTCTAATAGATATAAGTAAATATTATAATTTGTTATTGTGACCCGTTACTATAATAATAATTTATTGTACTATCGTGCAGTTAATTTGGACGATTTTTACGTTAAATATTTAAATAAAATATTTAGGCTTCCATGTGTATATTATATGTACGTAAAAATAATACTGTTGATAAATATTACTTTCAACGGAATATCCGTGTCCGCTAATTGACCATATGCAATTATTATTATAAATGTGCAACGTGCACACGCGCTCGTTATTATAATAATTATAATATTTAAAAACTACTGCATACAGTAATCCGAGCGATGATTAGCTTAAAACTCTCGCAATCACCTGCAGGACAACCGTTGTATCTTGTGATTCAGCATCACAGTTCCGAGTGCGAACTGCAGTGGCAATTTATAAGATAGGTACTCGTTGAAAATAATTATCGACAAACTCAGACGAGGCTTTCAAATATTTTAATGAGGTTTAGATGTATTTGGTAAAATCACGATTTACTCGGTTTTCTAAACAGCAAAAGACTATTTCAACATGTTTAATGCTTATGCGGTTTTTAATAGTTTGCCGTTTTACAGAATCAATTTATTGAACGCTAATAGAAATGTTGGGAATAATAAGTGAAATATAGATAGAATTTCAGACATAAACATAAGCGCTGTGTGTTCCATATAATATCGTGTCTTATAGATCGCATTAATATCAATATTGTTAGAAATTAATATCCAATATCTGGACAAATGATATAGGATTTAAAATATATATTATCTTTGTTGTTAAACTATATGTACTCACTCTTTAGCTTCTCTCTCTCTCTCTCTCTCAGTTTTATCAAGACATTATATTATATTACATTTTTAGTAATTTTAGTGGCTCCCTTTGAAAAAATTAGCACAAACTCAGGAATTATAGTTTTTTTGTAGGTGAATTGAAGTAGGTTAATAAAATTAGGTAGATTTTTAATATGAATTCAACTTCCATGTTTTTGTGAGTGGATAGTGGCTTTTTGGATTTGTACACTCATAAATTACACTGACTCCAAAAATGAAGCTAGATGAATACAATTTCGTATAAACATGGCGTTAGTATCAAGGTTTAGTCTTTTGGGGATTTAAACTTTTAAACTCTCTTACCGATTCTTTAATAATAAAGTCGGAAGACGAAATTGTGTATATGCATGGCATTAGTATCAATAATGTATCTTTTATTCAAACCTAACCTGTACTATTTATATGATACAATTTCACTGTTTTGTATTAGGACTAGTATAATTTTAGTATAGTATTATTTTAAAGTGTAATAGTTTTATTAAATGTCTTGCAAAGAATATTTCTAATATTTCTATGAGGTGAGGGGAAATTTGACATCTAGAGCTCTGCTGCTCACAAGTGTATTTTTTTTTTTTAAATCGTAAAACTAATTAATTATATAATTTCTAATAATAATTGGTAGATATAAATTTCGAAACGATTTCACGTGGAAACTTGAATATATAGAAAGTCACTTTTTTATTCTGTAGAATATTATTTTTTGATAAGTAGTCAACTATATACAACAATGACGAGAAAGCATTCTTATTGTGTAATCGAAATTATTATAATATTATATACGCGTACAATTTTTTATTATTTCGACGTGCATTTTATTTGGATGCATAATATTATAATAATCGTGTTCAACTATACAATTATTAATTATGCGAACAATGATATTTTTAAATTGATTACCCATCTTCTCATAACGAAATCGTTAGATGGCTATGCATAATAATTATTTATAATTTCTGTATATTGTTATAATAATATTCACAGCACGCTGTCAACAGTCTAGATGACATAAAAATTATACTAATAATTATAATTCACCAATTTTGACTAACTGATTTTAAACCAAGTTTATTTTCCCTTCTGCAGCAAACATTTTATAATTTTATAACCAATGATGTTTTTTTGATATACAACCACAAAAAGAATAGAATGTTTTTTTTTAGTGTAAAATTAAATACTCTCTTTTTTTTATTGTGTACACGCAAACATAATTTTTATTATCATAAACATTTTTTTTTTCCTCAGAGCAATGAGAACGAATTTCTTCTGGTTTTTTTTTTATATTTTTATAATCATTTAATGCGTTAATATACCTCCGCGCTATTACCACATATTATGTGCATGCAATACATAAAACGGTAGTAAAAAAAAAAAAAAATTTAAAACTCTTAAATGACTACAGTCTAACTCTCAAATGTCGTGTATTACTGACAACGGCCTCTCTGTATACAGAGGATTAAAGGCATAATTTAGAATTTGTCCCACCAAGATGGCAATTAGGTATTTAGTTATATAATATAATAGGTATTAATATTTAATATTCGATTAAATTTAAACGACAATGATTTTTCTTAGAAGTGACTCAGTATTTTTATTTATAGGTGTGTACGCTGCAGTGCATTCAATATAAGATCCATGTCCCCGGCCCCGGAGCTTTCATTATACGCATTATACTTTTATAATGTTTAACTATTTTTATGTGATTTTGAAATCGAAGTTTTTCACGGTTCCTAAATTTATGTTCTCAATACATGGTAAGTACACGCATTCGCAAAGTTCATAATATGTTAGTAGGCCTCCAGTTTGAGAGTCACCGGATTCGAGTCTCCTACAGGATAATTATTAGGATACTTGCTGTCGGTTTTCCAGATTAAATAACAAGTGAATTTTGTTATTTCAATAGTTCCACCTCCCGTGACCGGTTTGTTTATTATCCGTAAAATTTATCAGTGAACAAATGACATTTTTAACTGTATCATCCGCTCGTTATTTTTATCATAATATATTGTATACCTACATGCTACTGGGCTACTGGGGTGCCTGGAGGAAGGAGAAATATAAAATATCTTACTATATGAATATATAAATAATTCTATAAGAACCCTAGCGATATTGACTCACAAAAAAGTAGGTAGATAGTACGGGTACTATATGCAAAGCGATTACTTTCGTTAAAGGATCTTCGTTTACTTGGTCTACTCCACACATCCTCATATTACATCCGATATGTCTCCAGGGATGTTTTGGGCAAAATTGTAATGTTATCACTGAACATGGACATTTAAAATTCACGTTTTAACAGACACACGCATGGGCTTATTACACTGATTCGTATCGTGTGTAGTGTGGTCACTGCGGTATAATATTATACACGTGCGGTCGTGAGTACAATTATTATTATTACCGGTTTGGACGGATGATGGTGCGTATTCTCGCATACAACTTTTCTCACAACCCCTTCGGTGTAGATTTAATACCCGCGCACGAGTATTGTTGATTCGGAGGGAAGAACGAAACGCTGCATCTTAGCCGGCAAAAATGTCATCGTTAAAACCGATATGGCACGATATAATTATACACCGCACCGAGTTACGCGCACGTCCATATCCGTGCAGACTAGTACTTACTAATAGTAGGAATATTACAGTCTGTCCGCCCACAGGTTTCGTTGTAGAAGCAAAAAATAATCTATATACAATATATATGTATTGTAAATAACCATACAAGTAAAATGTACCGATTCAGTTCGATAAACTTTAGTGATAAGTGATAAGTCATCGTGTGTGTACACGATATGAGGCTCCGCTTAATATTTCGGCTGGATCGTCTTGTATTGAAATGTGCTTTTCGGGAGATGATAAGGAGCAGTGGCGATCAAGTGATTTTGTCATGTGGGAAGAGAATAAGGATTATTTTTAAGAATTAATATTATTTACAAAAAGTTTTTTCTAATTGTAAAATCGATAAAATTACGTTTAAATTAAACATTTACGAATATCTAATCAGTTTATAACGAAATTTCTGCAATATTAATTTTATAATCGATTTATCCTGGATATTATTAGTTTGCTAATTGTACACTGATTAAATTAATAAACTCTACCCGAATCTATAGAAAACAAATTGGAGGTGTCATTAAAAAATGTAAGTTGTATAACACATGCGCTTACCGAAAGTGTTACAAATTTGAAATATGTCTAAAAACGTACACTCATATTTGTTTGATTAATTATTTGTAAAATAATTATTTTTCCCTTTTTCCAAATACACGTTAAATTGATATATTTTTTTCGATATAAAACAAGTTATTAACACGTGAGAGAAATTACAAAACTTAATTTAATTTTTAGTTTTATAGAACATCTATCCAACAATCTATGATCTGTCCAAGTAATATACAATGTAATAACTATTTGGAACATAGTACCCCGACACGAAATTGTTATTTATATTTGAAAAATCAAAAAAAAAAAATAATTTTAATTTATAATTATTTACGGTAGGAACTGTCTGTCGTAATTAACGTCTTTTAATTGAAACCTAATTAAAACAAAAGTGAAATAAACTATGTATGAACCTAAATATTGCAGTTTATTGTACGTATATCTAAACATTTTAAAGGCTTGCGTTAACTATTAGTATTCAGTATCAATTTTTTATCCTTTATTTATTTACGCAATTTTGTTTATTTATATTTTTACTTAAAAACCAATTTTTATAGACCATGCACATATAACCGGATAGAATGTAAACTGTGTCGAATAAAAGTAATTCATTAAGCAGTGAGCAGGTAACATTAGCAGGATATTATAATCATTATTATCCAATTACGCCATGCAAAATATCTTCAACCGTGCAGTTTTAACTCAAAACAGTTGTATAACATTTGAACGGAACAGTCGAGTGCCGCCGCGTAGTAATTCGCAAACATCGAAAGACCTTTACGATTATATCATCATTATCATCGTACGTCAGCATTGTCCGGAGAGATAATAATAATAATAATATGAATATAGTTTTGTTTTTAAGCTAAAAATAATGATTTAAAAGCCCACCGATTTGGACTAGTTTTGTAAACGTTTCGTTTGAAAATGGTGTTTTACATTATAAAGTAATAACTGCTTAATAATATAGGTAGCTAAATGAAAAAAGACATGATTTTTTCCATCATAGTATAACTTCGTGTAAACGGTAAATACAACGCAAGTACATTACCTATCTATTCAATAAACTGTTTACCTGAGAAATTTGCATTTAAATGATCGGAAATTTAAAAAATATAGACACAAAAAAAGTGAAAACATTAATTTATTTTAATAATAATTGTCGTATTAAAATTGTTCAAGGCAAACAATTTTCTTTTTGATATCCCAACTTTATATTATCGACCATTTTTCCGACCGACTTATTGCGTATTATATAGTCTTCATAGTTTTTCAGCCTCATTTTAAATTCGACATTTTCCGCTTAATTGACTTCAGACTGCTTTATTCACCGTGCCTCACTGGTCAATGAATAGTAATAATAGCAATAATAATAAAAGGCTGATACTGCTGATGGGTGTGCCACTGTATTGAAAAAAGGTGTTGAAGAGGAGGATATGTAGAGTAACTTATTTTATGTCTGTACGCAACAATAAACCATTTCTAACGGAAAACGATTCTAAGCAGAAGTAGAGTATTTTTACGTATATTTCTTTTTTTCTTGCTTCTAAAAAAAAAAAAAAAATGAAAATGATCTCCCCAATATACCAAGTATATCTAAAATGCTACAAACAATTTATTATAAAGTTTTTGCTTGGAGTAAGATTTCTAGTAGAAAAGTTTTATCTTTTAGATAAAATAGTAAACATATAGTAAAACGAACACATTTCTCGCCTCGTTCATAGTCTAAAATCAATAACTAATGAAAATTAGCAGATTTCGTTTATACTGTCGCTGCCGATGCTCTAATTTCATATAATGAAAGGAAGGAGATCGTCCTCCTTTGTCACCCCTCCAAAATATACCCTGGGTATTAATATTTGTATAATTATTTTTTTGCCAACAACGAAATACATTTACCTGAACACGTTATAATATTATTATAAAATTCGTTAATACCTAGTGAGTTATTTAAGAACCTAAAATAAAATCATACGCATCACAGCCTCGCGAGATCACAAGATAAACGCGTTCTGCTATTCTATCTAGATAATAATAGTATATAATTTTATATAACAGCGGTGGCCAGCGAGATGAGACTCGCGAGCCGCCCAATATATTAATAAATATGGTAGAGCCTAAGTGAAAAAAAAGTTCATATTAATATGTGATGAATTTTCAGAACAACATATTCTTACGAGTCTTTATACTCAACAATGAAAATAATAAAAACTAAACATCGCTCAATTTTAATGGTTGATCATTTAATGCTGAAATTTATTTATTGAATAAACTATTTTATTAATATTATAGGTATGCACAAAAATCATGAGACTTATGCGTGTTTCAGTTGTACGGATAGCATCGAGATTCTAGGCGCTTGTTTCAAATTTTGTTCAAAAATTCAGTGTAGTACATTTCAATTACGAGTACTTATAATGAGCCTAAATAATCATAATCCGTTTTCAAAATTGAAAATTGTCAAACACAATTGAACAATTCCTACAGTTTTGCCTTGATTCTAGGTCTAAATCAACTAAATTGCATACCGTCGCCAATCAGATTAAACTATACCTAATTATATGATGTTCACGAAACCCACACTATTTTTTCTTTAGTCGTTCCGCCGATTTATTGCTAATTGGTACTTGTAAGAAAAATAATAACACTATTCAGGATCGTCTAAAATTTTCCGGCTGTCGGAAGTAAACATCAAAAATACTCACGGCGTATACCACCTTGACGTACGTAAATTCAAGATAACGAATAAGAATGGGAGGGACAGTGATCCTCCGGCGTGTCGATTTTTTCTTGTGATCATCGCTCCCCCAAAAGGACATTGGAAATGATAATACGTCACAGCGCTTAATGTCAAGTAGCGGGATGTGCGCTGTATACGTACAGGTATATATATATATATATATATATATGTGTAAAATGGGTGTGTACTTTAATGAAATTTTATTACACACTGCCCACTATTGTGTAGCCGCCGTAGAGGTTTACTCGCGTTTGATATAAGTAATACCCGTAGTGGCGGTGGCTACGTGCCTTATGTTCCGGCCGGCCGTTGGCAATGAATCAATCCATAATTAGCGATCGATAAACAACATTCGAGTAGTAGTAGTAGTAGTAGTAGTAGTAGTAGTAATAGTAGTAGTAGTAGTAGTAGTAGTAGTAGTATTATAGACGTGGAGATCTTATTATTATTATATATATCGTCTCACGTTCTCTCTATTCCCGCCTGATGTCTCATCCGCGTCTTAGGTATACGGGTAGTGTGTGTGTTTTATTTCGTGCGTGTGCGCTTGGTATGTAATATTATATCCGAATACTACTACCGGTTTTAACCGGTTAGAGGTTTACGCGCGCGCGCGCGCGCGCTCGCGACATGAAGATATTATAAACAATAATAATCGTTTTTATTAATTCATCGCGTGTCAGCTAGTGAGCCGCTGCCACTGCTACTGCCATCGCCGCCGCCGCGACGACGCAGACTACAAGTGTAATACGTCATGTCTTTTTTTTTTTTTTTTTTCCCCATTCGTAAATATTTACGATGCGGCAGCACGTAACGTCGTCCTAGTGTCGAACGAGCGAAAAATGAAAAAAAAAAGAAAAAAAAGAAAGGCCAATCCAAACCTATCCAAACTGCAGCGGGATTTGAGAGTTTCGAGCACTTCGAGGAGAGTATACTATTATAATAACTATGTGCTACACGTTGGTGGCGAGAAAAAACCGCTATGCCGTCGAGGCCACCAGTAAAACAACACGGCTACACACGCATCTCGACTTCGCGATGATGATATTACTATCCGGTGAAATCTCTCCGGGCGAAAACTCGATTCCCGGATCCGGTGAAATCGCTTATACTCGGCTTATAGGTTCCCGCGGGTTTACGGCCGGGA